CAGCTGCTCCCTTAAAGATGGGCCCCATAGTCAAGAAGAACAGACAGTAGACTGTGAAAACAATTACGCTGATTATTTAAAAAACTAATAAAGCAAAGTGAGTGTGGAGGATGAAGATTAAGAGGGAAGGGGAGGTCTGGGCCGGACAGGTTGTTGGTCCGCCGGGCTGGGCACGCATCGTGCGGGCGGCGACGTCGCCACCAGCCTAATGGATCTTTGAGTCAATTGGGGTTTACACACAGCTCAAAGATAAATAAATATAGAACAATCAAAATTGAGGTTAACAAAGGAGGAGGATAGCGGGTGGGGACAACTTTTTGGGTCATGCTCGGTAAAGCCAGCCTGCACTGCGGCGCCGTAGAAGGCGGTGGCAGTATGAGTTGACCTGTAGGCAGTGGCAGTATTATTTAGTAACATTAAGATGAGCCATATTGTGTACTTTATGAATCGATCCGCGGACCATCCCTCAGTGCGGGCAGTCGAACAGAACAGCTCAACGGGTTGCCCGCTGGTCTCCTGAGATCAGCCAGTATCGCTGGCATCCTAGGTGTCCACTGCCTGAAATTATTTTCGTGTTTTTCCGTAGACACTTAGAAATTATTCTCTATCAGTATGTGTGAGGATTGCAATTTGAATTTTTAGCCAAAATCCAAAAGGCATACCCTGAGGTTCCCTGGAGAGCCCCAGAGGTGCGTGCTACACAATCAGCTGAAGTTGCAGGAACATCACGAGACAAACAACTTCTACGCAATCCACTTACACGGAAGTCTATGAGGACATAAACTCAAAGGAAAATATTTGTACACATTACATATAAAATGCAGTTTCGGTGTGTTACATCGAGTAGAGTCGCTCACGTAGATACCTGACGTGCTGTCGTGCGTGAGCACTACAGTGTGGTAGTTTTATTGGTTTGGTTGGAGAGGCGATGCCGATCATTCGATAGGACACGAAACATCGTTTTGACCTTTACACATAACTCAGTTGGTAGCAACCCGGTGGAGCGGATTTCCCCACAGTACCGATCAGCTGCAACAACCCTAGAGGTAATCGCGGAAAAAAGAACCAGCCGCAATAGCATGCTGGTACAGCAGGCTATTCCCAGGAGTACTCTGGTAGGTTTGCCTGTCGATCAACCCAACAAGGACCAGAACCACGTTTTCTCATTAATACGCAGTGTCCTTCACACTCCTTACTAATCACGGAGTTTCTGTCTGCCATCTTGTGTATCCAGTTCCCGCGGCGATTTCAATATGGCATATGCGGCAAGGTCGGACATGTATGTGCCTACAGTGGGGGCATTGGCTTTTCCTCACCTAGTGTATACGTCGATAAAGTTATAAGAGTTATTATTTACGAAAGTATAAGTTATTTCTTCGATGAAGATCTACTGAAGTGTTCGTTTCCCGAGTTTTCCGTGTATTCTGGACATGAACTGCTAAACCTCAGGGCCTTACACGCATCAAAACAGCGGTCGATGCAGCGAACAAACACGAACGCTGGGCCTTGCCTCTCCTTAACTAAAGGCTAAGACCCAATAATTAGTTTCGCGAATTATTAATTTTCAATAGTTGATCATGTGAATAACTTCAGTTATCTTTGTGGGACGATAGTCTGCCGCGCACAAGTGGTGACAGCGGTGCTGTTCAAGACTGAGCATTCAGACCTAGTTCACCTGCGAAAGAGCCTTCTATGCCTCCATTATATCTATTTGATCTCTAAGCGATCCCTAGAACGTTTTCACTACATCTCTATTCCATCTCCATATCGCCATATTTGTGTGCACTTACTTTTAATATAGTATACACAGTATATCTTTATTATATCTATTGAAGCTTCCTCTTTGCAAAACCACTTACTTGAGCAAAAGCTAACGCTCTATGCGTATGAATCAAACGCGATGAGTGCACCTCAAATAAATTCCAATGAGTGGGCAAAGATAGAAGGTGCTGTTGTTGCAGCAGTTTTCTGTATATCTGTGGACGTTCTACTAGTATGAATACCTGGTAATGTTTACTAAGAGATATCCGTAGATATTCCGCCTTCTATGTGACTTACTTACGTAATGAACTGTCTCAATGCGCCGAAAGACACTGCAGGCGATCAGGAGCGTCCTGGAAAGCACATAAGGATGCTGTTGCTGCATCGCCTATGTTGGTAGCCAAAGGATGCTGCTGCAGAAGCTGCGGAGGACAGCTGCTGCATATGCAAGCGCTTGCTTTTGCGGTGGTTTACATGAGAATCTGCTCTCTCTTTCATGAAGCAGACCTCTGGTTCAAGTTGTAATACTGTTACTCTTCGATATCTCTTAACTGTCTCGCTGCAACTTCTCAATTTTTCAATACGCTTCCTGTATAAGGTTGCTTTTTGCAGCAGTATCTGTTTTAGTTGGTGTTTTCTGCCTGCGCGGGCCCCCCCTAGTTTTGCTGCTTGTTCGCTGACGACTGTAGTGTAATTTTTCTTATTCTCATTTTTCTTATTCTCTTTTTCCAGTCCGTGAACGCGCTGTTGATGTTCCTTGACTAGCCTCCGTGTTGCCATGTCAACCCGCAGTTTGCCTGGCTATCTCCCAGCCAGCGTGCCATTTTTGCGTTGGTGTAGTGCAACAAAAAGCGTCACGCTGACTGGCACTTTCTGTTGCAGTTTTACCTGTGAGGCGACTTGTTGTGCACTATTTTCCTGTAGGCGACTGCCGTTGCAGTATTAAGTGGAGCCTGCGTACGTCATCCTCCATCTCTCCTTTTCACTTACACTCCAAATCCTAAGTATCTGACAAAAGTATAGCTTTTAGGTTCATGCGCAAACATCATCATAGCACAGCCCCTATGCGTGCAGAAAGGAGCACTGTTTCGCATGGCTGATCTCTCGGAAACGCTTTATCAATCCAAGCTACAAAGGAAACTGTTACTAGTGACCCTGCTGCAACGCAATCTACTCAGCATTGATGCTGCAGCGCCAGCTATATATTTGAGCTGTTCCAGCATCAGGTACTTCGTATTGCTCCTTTTGGTGCATCAGATACTGAGCTCTTCGGTTCAGCGGCCCCCACTCCACAAGCAATCGCCTAAAAGGACGAACCAACTCTCATATTCTCTCCCCTACTCACTTTGCTGCACTAGTATACGAATACACTATGCACTGCAAACGGACAATACTTTACTTCAATCATAATATAGTGTTACCACCGGGGTATTTCTACAACGTCGCTCTACCTTCCACCGCTGTAAATTCAAGTCCGTTTCCTATCTCTGCCTTCTGAAAGCATCAAACAACTAAAACTGCACCGGCAGGCATCGCGATAAGTAAGTCGACTACAATTCATGCATATCAGAGTATAAAAGCACACAACACGCGCGGAGGCGTTCACCTTGCGCTCTCCTTAACAGATAACGGCACTTGTTCGCATCCTGCGTCGGCTTCTGTATACATTTTCGAGTCAACCAAAGTAGGACAAACGAAACCCAAACACAGAGAGATGTGCTCTTTACACCCATCATCTTTCTCAACTCTTCCTGATTTCAATGAACTTACGACCGTCTAGAGCATATTCGTACCCTACAGTGCTTTGTCGCAATCTCTTTGTAAGTAACGAACCCCTATACTAACGCCTTCTGTAGTGACGCATTCCGTTGAAATTCCACTCAAACAATGGTAATTAATAACTGTACATTGCTG